TATTGGAATTACAGGTGTGTGCCACCCCTCCCAGCTTAGTCTCTGAATTTTACTTCAATGCTAAGACTTTTCCAGCCTGAGCTGGACCTAAGGAAAGCATTCAGCCCAGGAGAACAAATCAGAGATGATAACGAAGATATTCAAGAATTTGTTAATTCAAGTCAGAGGATCACAGAATTACAAGGTTGGGAAGGGGTAGCCAATTCAAACTGAACTGTAAGCTTGCAAGCATCTGCAAAAGGTCCACTTGAAAAATTAACAAGCAGCTGGGTGGCGGTGACACATACCTTTATCAAGTACTTGGGAGGCAGAAGCATGCAGATCTGAGTTTGTGGCTAGCCTGGTCTACAGAGAGAGTACCAGAACAGCCAGGACTGTGGAGAAAACCTATCTTGGGGGGAAAAAAATTAAAAAACAAAAACAAAAAGTTGCACTTGAGGTGCAGTCCAAAGAAATTCTGTCTACCTTCCAATGTCCATGTTGAAAATGCTTTTCTATTTCCTTTGGCCTCAAAAGACTATCCTGCAGGCTCCAGTGAGAAGATCCTGAAATGCAGTCTACAACAAGCAGTTTTCTCATTTCTTATCTGTCTCCCCAAAAGCTGGGGACTGAAGTGAAGGCCTCAAGTCTGCCAAACAAGTGCTATCACTGAATCATATCCCAGTCCCAATATTATTTCTGACCTCCTTACTGGATCCTAACCCTTTGAAATATCCAGACAATGGCCATCTCTTGACTACATCTTCAAAACCCCTGTGACCAGGTCTGGTGACCTTCCTCTCTGGGGAGGCCTCCTTTAACCTCTCAGCCCAGAAAGCTGCCCTGGTTACCACTCAAGGGTTAAATGGTACTTATGATGTGATTCACTGGGTAGAATGTGGGCCAGAGCATACTACAAGTCCTAAGTTTGATTCCCTGAACCACCTAAAATAGGACACAGGAGACATAAAGGCCTGTAATGTAAACAGAGGCACCTAAAGGCCTGTAATGTAAACAGAGGCACCCAGAGGTGGAAGGGGGTAGCACGGGGCAGTATTTCAAGGGATAACTGAGTATCACTTGAATCAAGTTGATCATGAGGGAGCCTCATCTCAGTTGAGAGATGCTACACACCCATGTTCCAGGCAAGGGAAGAAAAGGCCAGACAATGTTGGTGACATACTCCAGTCTGAAAGTACCCCCAGACTGACTTTTGCCAGTCACTGGAGAGGCAGGTGGGCCCACTAGGTTTTTGCTCAACACCACTCTCTAATCCTTTAAATGGGCCCCTCTTCTGCACAGAATTAGATCCCTGCAGGGCTAAGCCCTGAGCACACAATGCCAACATTACTCCATCACCTTTAGCCCTCACACCTTTCTCTAACATCAGTGCTGGCACGACTTCTATTCCCCCACACCCACCCCCCGTGGCCTCATCCCAGAGTCAAACAAAGGACCAAAGAATGTTTGCAGAAAAAAAGCCCTGAACATTCAGACAAAAACAAAACAAACCCTGATCATGTCAAACAAAATGCTAATAACTTACTAAGGGATTCCTGCAGGCTGATTTTGAGACATGGTCTCATTATATACAGTCCAACCAGGCTGGCCTGGAGATCCAGCTGCCTCTGGGATCAGTCCTCGAATCAAAGGCGTGCACCAGCAATACTTGGCTTGAACTTGAACACTACCCTCTCACCTCACATCAAGTGCTAAGATTATTGATGTCTTTTGCATGGTGTGAGCACAGTTTTATTCCTAAAAACCAGAAGAATTGATCAGAAATCCTTCTTTTAGCTCTTTTCAAGTCAGAGTACCACTGAACCTAGAGACAGGCTGGCAGCCAGCAAGCGCCAGCAATCCTCCCGTCTGCTCTGACAAGGCTGGGGTTATAAGAGTGTATGGTCTGGCTTTAACGTGGGCATTGAGGACTCAAGCACGGGTTCTCACTCTTGGACAGCGAGCATGTCTTAGCATTCTCTGTATTCTTATTCTTAAGTACTGGTCCTCAACCTTCCTAATGCTGCAAAAGTCATAACTGTAATTTTGCTAATTCTAATGTACGCATCTGTGTTTTCTTTCTTTTTTTGGTTTTTCGGGACAGTGTTTCTTTGTGTAGCTTTGGCTGTCCTGGACTAGGCTGGTCTTGAACTTAGAGGTCCCCATGCCTCTGACTGAGTGCTGCCACCATGCCCAGCTAGTATCTATGTTTTCTGATGATCTTAGGTGACCCCTGTTAAAGGGTCATTCAACCCCAAGGGGGTTGAGCCCCACAGGCTGAGAGCTGGTTTCTGTTGCCATCAATGCTGTTTTTGTTATGTATCCTAGGTTGGTCTGAAATGCATGTGTGCACATTGAGTCTCAAAAGTGCTAGAACTAAGGCCATATGTCACATTTGAAATTTTTGATAAAAGGCACCTTCTGATTCTAAACTTCGGGAATTCTCCATTTCCTTTATCATTCATTAGCTCAACGCGCTAACTGCAGGGGCAGCCAAATAAAGCAAGACACGGTTCAGACAGAAGTGGGATCCTAGAAATAAGACCAACTGTAGTGGTGCACATCAATCCTAGAAGTTTGGGAGGCTGAGTTCAGGACCTAGGCTATATGGCAAGCTCAGAACTATTCTGAATTACACAGCAAAATAAAATTCGGGGCTATGGAGATAGCTCAGCAGTTAAAGATCCCTATTGTTCTGCCTAATGTCCTGAGTTTGATCCCTGGAATCCAGATGGTGATGAGAACTGACTTCTACAAGTTGTCCTCTAACTTTCACACCCAAGCTGTCGCACATGCATTGTCACCAACAAAATACATTTTTAAGTGAAAAAAACTATGATAAAAAAATTTAAAAAAAAAATACAAAAAAAAATTTTTTTTCTTTTTTTTTTACGTGAAAGAGTTTATTCAGGGGGAAGGAAAGCAGAAGAGATTTAGGGGCCTGATTGAGCCATGAGGGCAGAGACAGAGTAATTTTCTTTCTTAACTAAAACAAACAAGAAGGTATTCTGTCACTTGCTTGCGCAGCTATGCTCAATTGCTCCATTTCAGGTCCCACTTCCCACTACTTCCTACATGACAGAAGACAGCACAGAGAGATTCTGAAGAACTTTGGGGTTCTCCATTGCCTCTCAGATGTAAGTGGCCTGCCAAGTCCAGAAAGATCAAGGGCCTCTTGGGGTCAGGGTGCCAGCAATGGCTAATTCAAGACAGAAATTTCTGGGAACTTCTATGGAATAAGGAAAGACCCCCCCCCCCCCAAAAAAAAAGGAAAGACCCAAATTCCTTCTATTTTGGCTAACTGTAGAGAAGAACAGTTGTTTTTTTGTTTTGGTTTTTTGATACAGGGTCTTGCTATCTAACAGTCCCGGATGTCCTGAAATGTCCTATGCAGACCAGGCTAGCCTTGAACTCACAGAGATTTGCCTGCCTGCCTCCCAAATAACTAAATGAGTAAAGGTGTGTGTGTACCACCATGTCTGGCTCAACACTGTATCTTTTTTGATCCTCAAGGTGCTGGAGTATATATGGCCTAGCATTTATCAAGTCTTCAGTTTGATTCCAAGCACAATAAAAAGCAAAAGAAATATGGAAGTCCTATGTGCAAGCCACCCAGAAGCTTGGAATATGCAAGCTGAACTCAGACAAGCTGGAGAGGTTTTTTGTTTTTTTGTTCTTTGAGACAGGCTCTCATGTATCCCAGGCTGGCCTTGAATTTCCCATGCAGCTTAAGATATGATTTCTGATCCTTGTGCTCCTACCTCTATAGTACTCTGTAAACTAGGATTGCAAGCTTGAGCCATCACACCCAACTTATTTACTGCTATTGCTTAGACATGAATTCTTCCAACTGAGTTACATCCCTAGCTCCAAAACAGTCTGGAAATAACTGCTTTGGGTTCCAAGTGATCCTGTTTCTTTAACCTTCTATGTTCTGTGGACAGTCCTTCCCTCGATGCCCAGACATACAAACAAGTGTCTCCAGAGCCTACTGGATATGCCTTATGCCATGTGCTTACCAGTTAGAATATGCATTAGGAGAGCTGAGTCTATAGAGGGTAGGCCTTGGTGAGTACTAAGCAATCTTTGTTGCCTTTGACTAGGGAGACTGATTGGCAGAGAATTGGACTGGAGAAATTTTTCAAGTGAAAATCAGAAAAAAACAGTATCTGAGAAAATAGTCAGGGAGCAGAGGGCACTAAAGACAGTGGCCTTCTGCATTCTGGCCCTACGTCAGTCATCAAGCAGACCGGGCACTCTGCTTGAGTCCAGGTTTGCAAGACTCAAATGCCTCTTAGGCCTTCTAAGAACTGTGACACAGAAGCCATTAATGGGCTAGAGAATTTAACCCGACAAGAGATGCTTTTCTACACTAATCCCTTAATCATCAAACAGAAATGTCTTATCAAAGCCTGCCTAATAGTAACTGGTTAAACACCCACCTCTTCTCCAGGAACTCATTGTGATGATCTTTGGTGCCATTATTAAGGCATTTTCTCAAGGCCCACCCAGCTTCTCGACTGTTCACAGGCAGCTCCAACACAAGTGAAGAGAAAGCTGACTCTAGGAGGTTCTAATGTATTTCATGATCCTGCCGTGCCTGAGAAATCTAACAGAAACCTTGGAGGCTCGCTCACACAACTAATTTCACTTCTTTGGCGTCCTTCCTCCATTATAACGAAGCCGGGCAACCCACCCCAGAGGTGGAGCCTCGCCTTGGATAAAGAAAGGTGGGGGCTGGCCTTCCAGCAGCGAGCTGCCTCTCCGAAGACACCAGGTCCGGATAATCCAAAACTAGCCAGAGGTAAAGTCCCATGAGACATCCCCTCGGGCCCCAGGCTCCCTGCCTCTGTCCTCCACGCTGGACAATGCAGCACAGGCTCCACCGAGGTAGAGGTTAAGTTTCCTGCACTCCCAGCAGGTAATCAAGCAGAGAGGCTTTCACCTACATCCTAGAAGTCTATGGTTTGGAACGGGGCAATGGTCCCAAGCACCAACAGCGGCAGGCGGGCAACCCTTACCCATGCTGGCTCTGGAGCGAGCTGGGTGGCGTTGCCCATCCCCGGATCTTCGCCGGCTGGTGGTGGGACGTGGGTCTGGGATCTGCCCGCCAACCTGCCTGCAGAGGTTGCAGGATTCGAGCAAGCCAAACAAGGCCACACAGGGCGGGGCCCTGAGACCTATCCTGATCGTCCGGACCAGAAAAAAAGATCTGGTCACCAGCCAGGACACGGCGGCCCGGACAGGCGTCGGTCTGGCTCTCAGCATTCCCCCGGCCGCAGCGGCAGACAATCCGCGGGAGGCGGAGCCGCGCGCGACACATGGTGCGGGCCCCGCGCCTCTTTGGGCCGCCGAGGGGGTGTGAAGAGGGGAGGGGCCTCCCAGGGCCTCGAAGCAGAAGCTCCCGGCGGCCTAGAGCGCGGCTCCTGCGGCCCAGCCCCCGCCCCGGCGCGCTGGCCCCAACACTCACCCGTGGGGCTGGCACGATGGCGGCAGCGGCGGCGGCAACCCAGCGCGGTCTGCGACCGACTGTCCCTTCCCCCCTGCCTTCCCTCGTCCGTCCCACTGCACTCAGGGAAATGTAGTCCAAATAGGCCTCTTATGGGCTTTACCGAGCTCGAATGCCACTACAATTCCCAGAATGCCATGCGCGGAAGCGCAGCCACGGCTCGCAGCGCGGGAGGAGAGACTAAGTCAGAGAAGGAGGCAGTCCGAGCGAGCCCCTGAGAATTGTGGTCTAGCGGAAGCCTCTGGAACACGGAGTTGGCGCCAGGCAAGGATCAGGTCGCAGTTGCAGCCGGGTCCCAGCTGGCCTGGCCCCGCCTATGTTTGTGTGGCCGGTGGTGCCTGACCCCGCCTCCCTGGGAGCCTGATCTAGCTTGGAGCTAACCCTGCTTATACTAGCAGCCCCTCCCTGGGCCCCTAGGCTGTTTCTGCGTCCAAAGCCTACTTCCTTTAGGCAGTATGGCTACTACTTCTGCTCGCGGTGTGGCCTTAACCCGCGTGGCGAAAACCCACCCCGCTCTAGTCCTGTTTCGGAGGGAGCTACTTACCCCCCAAAGTTGGTTGCGAACTAATTTGGCTTTTGTTGAGTCAGAAAAAGGCTCTTTAGATGGGCCATAGTTGGGGAGGTTAGCCTTAGTTGTACAGAGACAGATTTTCAAAACAGAATCGTGATCTTTCTATTTTTTTTAAATTTCTAGGTTACTTGTTTTCTTGCAGTAGACAGGGCAACTACTTTTTGTTTTTTTTACATTTTATTTGTGTTGAGGGGCGAGCCATGACATGCGTGTGAGGGCCTGGAAATCAGATTCTCAGGCGTAGAGGCAAGTTACTTTACCCACTGAGCGAACTTGTTGTTTTTTGAGACTGTTTCTCTGAGTTTTAGCTGTCCTGGAACTCAGTCTGTAGACTAAACTGGCTCTGAACTCACAGAGATATGCCTGCCTCAGCTTCCCAAGTCTATCTTTAGTTTTTATTCAAAGAAAAATAACTGGCTCAACCTAACTTTACCAAGTGGCTGGACTGTAAATAATCCTCTTGCCACACCTTTACTTTGTTTCCTTGGTAACACAAATATTTGAAGGACGGCCTCTTTCTGTCTGTGCTGGGCAAATGGTTCTGCAGCCAACCCAAAGAACCACGGTGAATGAAAATGGCTATCTACCTGGTCAGAAAAATCTTCAGTTCTTCTGTTTTGCTATAAGGAGTTTTGAACTTTTAGCCTCACATCACTTCCTGGGGATGACTGGTAAAACTAGGCTAAGCTTCTAGATTAAATCCCGTCTGTCCAGATCACTTTGCTTGACCAGATGCTTCTATGACCCAGTCACTAAGAACTCCACTTTACTCTTGGTAACACACCTGGAGTCTCACCCCCCTCCCTCCAGGAAAACAAAACAGGAGGCAAGTTACAACATTCAGGGAGTGCTGCTAAGAGTTCAAAAGAACCAAGGAGCTAGCCTTTCAAAGAACAGGAGGACAGGGGAAGCCCACTCTAAGGAAAACGTATTGACATGTGAGAGTTTGGCAGTTAGCCTAGAAATGTACTGCTGTGCTTTCACCACCTGATTATAAGCCAAAGCTAACCCTAAAAGGCAGATTCAAACTGGTCACCTATACACACGTACTGCAGCTTTCTCAAGATTCATTTTCCAACCCAGAGCCAAAGGACCAGAAGGGAAGTAGACCCTGGAGTGTTGGGGACACTTCGGCTTGCAATCGTAGGGCATGTCCCCAGGCAAGGTTACTGGTCCATAAGTAACTCAGAAGTGACTCAAATTCTAGAGAGCCTGAACCTAAGTAGAGTTCATACATGGCCAACAGTCATAAAAACAGGTAATGTAAAGGGTGTTTACAGACCTGGAAAATGTCTCAGTAGTTAAGAGTGTATACTGTTCTTGCAGAGGACCCAAGTTTGGTTTCCAGTACCCACGTCAGGTGACTAACTGCCTGCCATTAGACCCAGCTCCAAGGAATCTAATGGCCTTCTGCCCTCTTCAGGCAGCTACAATCACAGACACACACATAATTCAAAATAATAAAAATCAATTGTTTAAGTCATTCACATGACGAGGTGGTGATGCAAACCTTTAATGCCAGCACTGGGAGGCAGAAGCAGGCAGATCTTTTGAGTTGGGAGGCCAGCCTGGTCTACAAATTGAGTTCCAAGATAGCAAGACCTACACAGAGAAACCCTGTCTGGAAAAACAGATCACATCTCCCCATTAGCTTTGAGCTAAACTACTTACAGCTATAGATAAAAATGTCATCTTACCTTTCTAATATCTAACCTAAAGACCAAAGCAGCCAAAACCAACGTAGAAGTTATAAACCAATTCCTTAATGCCGTCTTTCACAATAAAGGTATACTGAAACCAGTGTATTTGTAACAAGAGGCTTCGTGCCTGAAGGAGCCAAGGCTGCTTCCAGTTCTGGACTTCACTGATTTATTAAGTAATTGCATCCACATGCATACTAGACACTACATGTCCCAAGAAGTGAAATGGTAAACAAACTTCAACTGTAGATGAAAATTCAAGAAGGAAATTATGCCCAGCATGGTGGTGCACATCTTTAATCCCAGCACTTGGCAGAGACAGGTAGATCTGAGTTTGAGGCCAGCCTGGTCTACAAACTGAGTTCTGGGCTAAGCCAGGCTACACAATGAGACCCTGTTTCAACCCTCCCCCACCCTCCAAAAAAGGAAATTAAAACTATCAGAATCAGCCCTGTGTGGTGGCACATTCCTGTGATCCCAGCACTCTGGGAGGCAGAGGCAGGCAGATCTCTGTGAGTTTGAGGCCAACCTGGTCTACAGAGTAAGTTCCAGCCATGGCCACACACAGAAAACCTGTCCCAAAAAAACAAACCCCAAAAACCAATTAGGGAACAAAATAATTCCCATTTACTTTTCAGACACCTTTTTAAAAAATCAAGATGTAGAGCCAGCTTAGTCAAGTGCTTGCCTTACAAGTACACCCACAGAACCCATGTAATAAAAACAACGAAAACCAGACATGGTGATGCAAACTTGTAATCCTAGCACTGGAGAGGCAGAGACAGATTCACTGAGGCTCACTGGCTGGCCAGACAGCCTAACATACTTGGTGAGTTTCAAGAAAGTGATTTCTCTGTCTCTCTCCAGAGCAGAGGACCAAACCCAGGGCCTTGTGCTTGCTAGGCAATCCCTCTACAAGAAGAATGGTCTCAGAAGAAAAGAAAAAAAGGGCTGGACAGCACCTGAGGAGAGACAGCCCAGGAACCTCTGGCACCCATACTACACACATGTATATACACATACACAATTATCCAGAAGGAACATCATGGAGACCTTCTTATGCACCTTCCGAACTCTTTGGAGTGAACTGAGCAAAAAATTTTTTATGAAGATCTATGTGCTTTATGGAGCATCCTGGTCCAGCATCTCTACTTTCAGGGCTGGCCTGTTCTTCCAAAAAGGCCAAGGTCTATATCCCCATATTTCAAGATCACTTAGCTTTAAAGAAATAAAATGTCGAAGCCCAAATAAAAACCTTACTTTTTTTTGTTTAATTTGTTTTGCCAAACAAACACAGTGAAAACTTTAGTCTAATTGTACAGAAAATAGAATTTGTAACCAGTAGCAAACATAACGAGAGATAAACCTAGTCCCTGGTAAGCTGGATCTCCATCAGCAAGTCACCCAGAGCCCTCTCATAAATGACCTTCTCGGAAGATAGGTCCTAGGAGGCAGAGGCACAGATCAACTAGTCCCCATCGAATCACAGGCTGTACTTGAAATGGGTAAGCATGAAAAGGAGAAATGGTGTTACTGAGATCTCTTATCACTACATAGAGCAAAGCTGTCTCTGATTGCTGGCCAACCTTAAGATGTGGTTTTCTTAAACCCACAGACCCTAAGAGTGCCATCTGCACCCCTCCATGATAAGTTTCAAGTTCAATGGTTCTGAAGCCTTTGCTTAACCAGAATCTGCAACATAAACTGGGGCGTTAAAGACAGTCATAATTGCTGGTGTCACCAGATTCTGAAGTCTCCAACTCCTACTTCAGGAGGAAACAAACAAGGGTGCCAGATGACCAACAGAAGTCCCACTGCCCTAAACCTCAGCACTGTCAACCAGAATATTGGCAAGTTCAACATCCGCCTGAGGATTCCTTGGGCTGGAAGGAGTCAGGAATTCTGCAGGTTGCTGGCGGGGAACCATTCACATTCCGTGTTTCTTACGGATAACAGCCATGGCAAGCAGGCGATCCTTCTCTCGAAGTTCTTCACGGAGCTTGGCCTCCGTAAGACGCAGATGGCGGATGCTACCCTTCATCTCTTTCATCTTCACTTCCATCAGGGCCAAGATGTCCCGCTGCTCGTTCAGCTTACGCAGGAGCTCCTCCTCTGTGGTACCTGATGACAAGGAGTACGAGTGATCGGAGCCAGTATCAGGAAAGCCCTCTTCCCCTACCACCACCAGCTGAGGGCCCAGAGTGCACTCAGCGGCCTCCAGCCCAGCTGTAGCAGCCTCTAGCTCTGATGCGGCGGCAGCGGCGGCTGCGCCTTCAGCAGCTGCAAACTCTACTTGCACTGTAAGGTCGATAGGCTTCACATCATCTCCCGCGGGATTGGTGGACGCCGGGACCACGGATCCCGGAGCCTGGCTGCTGTCTACAGAGGCCTGAAGGGTAAGAAGCACGGCCGCAGAGGCAGACACCAGGTTTGGCTGCAATTGGGTGCTCTGGGCAGTGGAAGAGGACGGAGACGGCTGCTGCTGCTGTTGCTGCTGTTGCTGCTGCTGCTGCTGTTGTTGTTGCTGCTGCTGCTGCCTACGGCGCGCTGCCGCAGCTCCCGCTGGTCTCCGCGCCACTTTGCGCTCATTGACGCCGCGCAGCGGGAAAATGGTGGGAACGCGCACCGTGTAGGTCTTGCGGCCGCCCTGGAAGTGAACGCTGCAGAGACGGTGGCCCGTGGTGGGTTGGAAGGTGGAGAAGCACCCGCTGACGCCAGCACGGGACACGTTCTTGAGCCACAGGCGCCGCAGCTCAGCGTCCTTGGGAAACGTGTAGAAGTGCAGCGCCTTGTCCCGGTGTGAGTTGTTGTAGCAGCCCGGTACGCAGCACGTAAAGCCAGGCATGGCTGCGACGCGCGGCCCGGCCCACCGGCCTCTTGCGCTCTTCGACGGCCGGGTCTGGCTCCCGCCTCAGCTCCTCGACGGGCGGCGACGCGCAAGGCCTTTAGAGGCCTCCTTACTATTGCCACCCGGCGCAGTCGTCCCGGGCGGGGGTCCCGTGCCCAGAATATGCTTGCGGACCGCCCGCGCCGCGCTACCCACCCAGCCGCCCGCTTGCGCTCCGGAGTCCGCCCGGGGGACGCTGTGAAGGACCGCCTGGAAAGGAGGACTACGCCCCCCACAATGCACCGCGCCAGAAGCCGCTCACTTCCGGGAAGGGGGCGTGCTTATTCCGGCTGCTTTCCCTGGAACCGCGACATCATGCCCAGAGTCGATTATTTTACAGATGAGGCTCGTCCTAGGCGAAGGGGGAGAAATGTACTCGAATGGAACGTTGTCGCTTGGGCTACCCCTCACAAGGACCCGGAATCCTGATGGTACGCGGCACGTCCGTCCTGAGCGCAAGCGCTCTGGGTATAAACACACGAAGACTACAAGTTCCATCCTGCCTCAGAAGAACCTTGTGGCTGCGGACTCCAGCGCTGCCTAAAGGAGAGGTGGAGTTCCTGCAGCCTGCTAGACAAGTTCCCCAAACCCTAGTACCTTGGGGTGGAGGGCATTGTTTTTTCTTTTTTCCCCAAGTGCTGGGATTAAAGGCGTGGCGCCACCACGGCCTGGCTTGTGGAATGCATTCTTTATCCTGGAGGAAAAACCAAATCAGCCCAGAAGAACCAACCTCTGGAGTCACTTTCTCATATTGGGGCACTCTCAGCTACCTCCTACTTGGACCTAAACCAGTTCCCTAATAGCTGCCTACTATGTGCCAGAGTGTAGGGAGAATACAGTGAAAGTAATTTTGAGCAATCAGGTCAGTCCCAGCCCTCTCCCTTCTGGAGACTGATTAGAGGGTCTTCTGGATAATGGATGAATAGTTGTCTATAGACAAGAATAAATGCCACAAAGAAATCAGCAGACAAAGAAGACAGTGATGAACGCAGGCCAGAAAATAGGCAAATTGAAACCTTGGAAGTGAGTAGTAGAAGTGCTTGGCCTCCTTAACTCCCTACCTTGGGGAACTGTTGGGAGATGAAACAGGGAGGACATAGGCCTGCCATATAAGTGCCTGGAAAGGGCAACCAGATTAGAACCCTGAAAGATTACCAACTAAGCATTCATAGAGAATTTGGGATTTCACTCTTCAGGCAACCAGGAACTTGAAGAGTTTTAAAGTGGGAAAAAAAAAAAGTTTGCATTATATCAAAATAATAGTTGGTTTTCCTTCCAGTAACAGTCTTTGAGGGTGGGAAAAGCCAGCCACACCTGGCTGGTGGTACAGACCTGTAATCCTGGTTAGCTGAAGAGGTGAGACTAGAGGAATTCAAGGACAGCCTGGGCTACAAAGTGAATTCAGGGCCGGTCTGGACAACCTAAGTGAGATCTTCTCTGGAAATAAATAAAACAGGGCTGAGAGAGTTAAGTGATATGGCACTCGCCTACCATGAAGGAGGCCCTGAGAAATAAAAACAAACAAAACCAGGACAGAAGCCCATAGATTACCACTGCATTTCTAGTGTAGCCAATGAGCTCTTTCTTGGTTATTTGTGGGGGTTCTGCTCACTTATCAATAAGAGAAAATCCAATTTTCCTGGCCTAGGCAACTGGGTCCACGGCTGGAATCTCTTCACATCCAACATGTATTTACCCACTGTGTACAGAGTAGGATGAAAGATGTGTATTCATTTGAGTGAATCATTTATACTATGGTATAACACAGTCTGGAATGATAGTTCACATTTTCTTTCTTTCTTTCTTTCTTTCTTTCTTTCTTTCTTTCTTTCTTTCTTTCTTTCTTTGTTTTGAGATGGTTTTTCTGTGTAGCCCTGGGCTGTCCTGGAGCTTGCTCTGTAGACCAGGTTGGTCTTAAACTCACAGAGATCTGCCTGCCTCAGCCTCCCAAGTGCTGGGACTAAAGGTGTGCCACCACCTCCTTTGATAGTTTACCAGCCCACAATTTTAATTCCAGTATTCAGGAGGCAGAGGCAGAGACATTTGCCGCCAAGCTTATAAGGCCTGAGTTCAATTCCTGAAAAGCACATGGTGGAAACAGAACTGATTCCTGTAACTTGTCCTCTGGTTTCTCCTTGTGCACTGTGACATGGACATACCCACACACTTACAAAATAAATAAAGTGAAAAGTTAAAAATAGCAGAAAGTAGCTGGGTAATGGGCCTTCAATACCAGTACTTGGGAGGCAGAGGCAGGCAGATCTCTGAGTTCGAGGCCAACCTGGTCTATAGAGTAAGTCCCAGTACAGCCAGGACTACATAAAGAAACCCTGACTCAAAAAAAAAAAAAAGCAGAAAGTAGTCATCTATACCTATATAGTCTCATCTCTGAAATGGCAAAAAAAAGAACATGATTCAGTACAAACTCAAAGCTGGCTACCAGGTCAGTTCCAGGCCAGCCAGGGATGTGAAGCTTATCTCAAGGACAAACAGGAATGTAGTATATTAATTATGAAGTTTGTTTGCTTAAATGTTTGTTTGTTTTGAGATAGGGTCTGACTTTGTAGCCCAGGCTGGTCTGGAACGCACTATGAGGACCAAGTTGTCCTCAAACTCACAGAGATTTGCCTCTGCCTCTGCCTCTGCCTCAAGAGTGCTGGGATTAATGGCATGCACCATCCTTCCTGGCTAAAATAAATTTTTAGGAATTAGATGAGGTAGTTTATAGTGACAACGGAAATTTGTCTACAAACACCTAGCAAATTTAGATAAACAGATCAGATCTAAGTAGACAGTTCAGTTGGTAAAGTTAGTTCAGTCGCTTGCCTGGCATACAGGGAGCTCTAGAATTGATTACTACCACCCCAGAAATGGTATATGGTGTCATAGTGCTGTAACTCTGAAGTTGGAAGCTGGAGAATCAGTTCAAGATCAACCTCAGCTGCATAAGTCTGATGCCAGCCTGAGCTACATGAAATCCTGTCTTAAAACACACAAAACCGGTTTTAGAGAGATGGCTCAGTCAGAGGTTAAGGGCACCAGTTGCTCTTCCAGAGGTCCTGACCTTTAAACAAAATAATGATATAAACTGAGCATGATGAATCACACCTGTAAGCACACTGACATAGAAGCAGGAGGTTCAGAAGTTCAAGATCATTCCCAGGCTTAGGAATTTGAGGTCGCCTGGGCTACATAAGACACTGTTTCAAAAATAAAGTGTGTGTGTGTGTGTGTGTGTGTGTGTCTGTGAGAGAGAAAATCATCAAAGTCTGGCATAGTGGCCCACACCTGCAGTCAGAGGACTCACCCAGTAGAGGCAAGAGACCACAGGAGGGCATCAGATGCCTTGGCACTAGTGTTTTGCACTGGCAGTTTTGAGCCTCCTTAAGGGTTCAGGTCCTATGCAAGAGCAGCAAGTGGGCCTTAGCGCTGAGCCATCTTTCCAGTCCCCTAGTTTTTTAAAGATGATTATCATCCTTATTTTTCATGAAGAAACTATGAGGTTTGAATTGGTTGCGTGCTTTTCCCTAGGGTTAACGTGAGACAGCCTCCAAAATCTATTTACAATCATGTCAGAGCGGGCGCCCAGTTGTTGGACTACAGTTCCCGTGGGGCCCTGTGGCAGTATCGCGAGAATGACTCGAAATTGACGGCGGGAATGCCGAGCTTGTTCTAGCAAGAGCAGTTAGGAGGGCTGAGCCTCCAGCATGGCGGACAGCTACACTTCCGACAGCGATCAGACAACACGTACGCTCTTGCAGCGGGTGCTGGATACAGCGGATTTACGCACTCCGAGGCGACGACGCCGGAGCGCTCAGACTAAGTATGTGAGAGTGTTGCCTGAGCAACTAGAATGACTGGGGAGTGACATGTAGGTCTGCCTTGTCTGGAGAGGAAACCTGCGTCTCAGAGTATAGTCTGAGGCTATAGCCGAGATCTGACTGTAACTAATCGAGGCGGGATCAGCTATGGAGCTCCAGGGTGAGGCCACAGAGACCAACAGTGCTAACTCTCTAGAAGCAGAGGATATGGCTCTGTTTTTTCTAGGCTGTTTCACTCAACCCAGGCTAAGGTTGTTTTGACATCTACCTCTACTTTCGGATGACTTCACCTTTCCCAACACATACAGTCCTACTCTCTGAGGGTCTCGTGGGAGGTCAGGAGGTAGGAACTGGAGAGATGCTTTTCTAGAGAATAGGGCTTTGTCCTGACTTTGCTGCGTACCTGTCTTGAGGGTTGTGAGCAGAAGGTACCGAAGTTGGCATCTGCCAGTCTGAAGAAAATCATCCTTTTCAGGTGGATACTTTTTCGCGATAAGGTGTTTTTCCCCCATGGTCCTAGTGATTGATCTCAGGACCTTATACCTACCTGCTAGTTAAGCACCCTCACCCTATCACTGAGCTACATCGCCAGCCCTTTTGGTATGTCTTTGAGATAAGAGTCTCACAGAGTTGCCTTGATTTGGCTTGAAACTAGCCCCAACAGGCTTTGAACTTGCCATCCTCCTGCCCTAGCCTCCCTGGTAGCTGGGATTATAGGCCCCGTACCACCTGGCCCTTGCTCATTCAAGGCGCGGTATTTGTGGTCTCTGTGTTTGAAAAAATGTGTGGAGGTCAGAGGACAACTTGTTGAGTCAGTCTCTCCTTCCATTGTGTGGGCCCTGGTCATTAAACTCGGCATGTCAGGCTTGGAGGCAAGTGCCCTTACCCACTGAGCCATCTGGCCAGCCCCTCCAGATATGTTTTAGATGTATGAGGAATAACGTGGGAGTTGTGCCTGGATAACGCTGATAGAGTTCTGACACACACTGGACTGGAAAAATAGATCTGGGGTGACCCATGTGGAACTTATTGTCATGCCTTGACAACTTGAAAGGAAAAAATGCCCTACTTGGATTGTTGCTTTAATGACTGGAAAGGGATACTCCTCCAGTGTGTAACCTATGTGACTGACCCCTACTCACCTTTTATTCTTCTAGCCTCACCTCTGTGAAGCCTTTCCCCAACCCTTCCTGTCTGCCTCTACCTCAGGGCTACCCTTCATCCTCTTTGCTGACAAAGCTGAGAATAGGGACTATGGAAAGTGCAAGTGGTTTCTGGAAGGGATTCTGCCCCTGAAGGAAAAGAGCTTTAAACTATGACCCCCTTGTGTAGGCAAACATCTGTATCTTCCAGCTCCTCACTCCCACTCCCTGCATGTAATTCTCAGAGCCCGGTTGTTTTGTTTGTTTTAGACACAGTACACAGAGAACTCTGCTTCAGACACCTTCCTCCAAGAGGCAGAATAGCCAGACAAAGACAAGCGCCAGAAGGCATTCCCATGGAGCTAGGGTGAGTCCAGCCCACTCCATGAGTGACTTCATGGAACCCTGAAGTCTATTTTGGTTTCGAAGCCTAACTTGAGGGATCTCAAGGCAAAAAACAAACAAAAAACAACCAACAACAACAGACTGGTGGTGCTTTTACCCATAGTCAGGTGGCAGATTGGCGCGTGTTCAAGCTCGTGGACACCTGGAAGAACCGACACCCCGGACTCTGCTGAAGAATATCTTACTGACTGGTAAGTGGGTGTTAGCCTGCCAGTTGAAGTTAGTATTAGTTCAACAATCAGTCCTGTGGTATCCTCCTTTGTCCGCCCTACCCTCTACTTGTTATTTCTTCTACAGCCCCAGAATCTTCCATCGTGATGCCGGACTCAGTGGTGAAGCCAGTACAAGTACCCGAGGTGCTCCGGCGGTCTTCCAGACGGAAGAGCAGCTGGAGCAGGTATGCAGTGAATGTCCCTCATTGGATGAGCCTCCTCTTGGGGTCCCCAGAAACTAAAATTGGGCTTTCTGACATGTCTGAGATAAACTCCATCCTTACAGCCTGGAACTACAACTTCCTGAACTGGAGCCCTCCTCAACCCTGGCTCCAGGTCTAATGGCCCCTGGCAAAAGCAAGCAGAAGCTAAGATTGTCAGTATTTCAACGGGAAGTGAGCCAAGGGTTGCCTCTCTCCCAAGGTGAGACCTAGGACACACCAGTGCTGTTTTCCCTTCTGTCTCTGGGGAGGTAAAAGACCTGAGAAGGCCTTCATGGGTCTTGGGGAGCTTACTATGGATTGTTCTTTTTACTTTTTCTTGATGAGCCCTGACAGAGCCACCTGGGAATGCTGATGACTCGTCTTTGACCAGGTACTGTTCCCTGTTCTGGGGTTTGATGTAGCAAAGGCTTGAGGGAGGTGTTGACTGATGGAATCTTGTGACTCTGCTCACTGTTAGTTTTAGCCTTACAGCACTGTGGCTGTATTCTAAGAGATGAGCCCCATAGGGGGCACTGTGTCTCAGGCTTCCTGTCTGCTTCCATCTTAACAGCTCCTTCAGCTTTGTCCCACCCGTTCAGCCACAGTCAGTGGAGAGGCCTGGTCTGGCTCGCCGACGTCCCATGCGCCGACCTCTGGATGTCCATGCTCTTTTGCAGGATCTGGAAGATAATTCCTCGACCTCAGCTCTTCCAGGTAAGGTTGAGATTTCCTCTTGTAGCTTTACGAAGAAGCTACTACCACTCTATGACAGACAGAAGGCTCTATGGAATTCAGGGTCGCCCCAGTTTTTGGTGAGGTCAAGGACACTGTATGAGCCTGCCCAGGCATTTATGAGGAGTTTCTATTTTCTTTACAGAGTGCACCTGGTACTTTGGTGTATTGGTCAGGGTTCTCTAGAGGAACAGAACTTACAGAATGTGAGTGGTTTTGAGGTGGGGAGTAGCAACAGGGATTTACAGGCCATGGTCCAGCTAGCAAAAATCGTCTGTCAACGCAAGGTCCAAGAATCCACAAGGCTGGATGTCTCAGCTAGTCTTCAGTATGTGTTGGGATCTCAAAGAAATAGGCTCCTTTGACAGTGAGGGAATAAATGGACGTGCTATGGAGAACAAACAGGCAAAGAGAACAAGCTTTCTTCTTTATATAGGCTGCCAGCAGAAGGTGTGGCCCAGATTAAAGATAGATCTTCCCACCTCAAAGATCTGGGTCTTGGGCTGGAGAGATGGCTCAGAGGTTAAGAGCACTGTCTGCTCTTTCAGAGGTCCTGAGTTTAATTCCCAGCAACCATATGTTGGCTCACAACCATCTATGAGATCTGGTGCCCTCTTCTGGCATGCAGGTATACATGCAGATAGAACAATGTGTATATATAATAAATAAATTAAAAAAAAAAGATCTGAGGGCTGGACAGATGGCTCAGTAGTTAAGAGCACTGTCTGCTCTTCCAAAGGACCCAGGTTCAGTTCCAAGGCATCTGACACCTTCACACTAATGCACATAAAATTAAATTATTAAAAAACAAACCAGCAAACACATTCTACCTGAAGCCACTTTGAATTGATATGCTTGTCGGAAAGGTATTCTCTGCTATACAAGGAAATATTGTTATTCCTGAGTTTTCAGGAAAAAAAAAGAAAAAGATCTGGGCCTTTCCACATCAAATGATTTAATTAAAAAAAAAAAAAAGTCCCTCACAAGTGTGCCCATTCATTTGGATTTTAGTTAATTCCAGATAAATTTAAGGTGACAACCTAGAACAGCCATCATAGCCAGGTATGGGAATCTCTCATGGATCTATGAGTTTGAGGCCAGCCTGTTCTACAGAGTGAGCTCAAGGACTGCCCAGGCTACATAGTTACACACAGAAATCCTGGGGGGGGGGGGGGGGGGAGAAGCCATCACTAAGGTCTAGCCTTAGTGCTTCTGTGTCTTCTGTTACTTTGTATTCTCCAAGTACACGGCTGAGGGTAGAAAGAAAGGGGTATGCTATGGTGGCTAGCCCTTGTTAGAAGATCAGTGGGGGGAAAACAGGTTTCGTGATCGCCTGGCACGAACCTGGGATCTTGAGTACAGGGGACAAGTTAATATTTGAGGAACGTGATGGATAGAGGAAAAAGTAGACAGCTGAGGCATGTACAGTCAGTTTTGGGGATTGTGAGCAAGTTGTAGAGGCCTGGGAATGTCAGAGGAAGGACCAGAGAGAGTAGCGGGGAGGGCAGGGGGAGATAAAAGGCTTAGAATGTAGGTTATTTCATTCTAGAGGTTGCGTAGGCAGAGAAGACCCTTAAGTTTCACTGCCTGTACCCTGACAACCCAGGTTTTAGCAGGTGGGCCTAGAATATAGAATTTATATGGCTTTTATTCTCCAGGTGACAACTGTAGAACCCCTGTTGCTACTCTGCCAACGGATGTACTGTTGGAAGACACCCAGCCTTTCTCACAGCCCGTGGCTGGCTCTTCCCTTAGCATGCACCACTCTCTGCCCAACCCTTCTCACACTGGGGCTGAAGATGCTCAAAGAGCAGGCTCCAGGACACGAAGCACTGGGCCTAGGCTGCAGAGCCACAGTGAGTATGAGGAGCAGCTTAGCCTGGGTGAGAGTTAGCCTAGGGAGATTGCCCTCCTCCACCCCTACGTATGCCCCAGAACCCCCTTCCTGGGAGTTCCTTCTCCACTCAAAAGTGGGGTTCAGGTCGAGCCAGTTGATTCTAAATCAGTGCCTCCTTGTCTTACTCTCCCCTCAGTGAACAGAACTAGCATGGACACTACTCCTTTGCCCTTCTCGGAGCCTCAGCCTCAGCCTCTAGAACTAAGAGAAGCAGTGGGATCCCAGGAGGCTGTGGAGGCCAAGGTTCAAGAAGGATCTTCAGGGGATGAGGATACTTTTGGCAGGCCAGGTAAGAGGCCTAATGTAGGCATCAGCAGGTGAGTGTTCCCAGCTTCTTAGGTCCTATCATACAGAAGAAAATTTGCCTGGGCTGTTTCTGGGAACTGGTAGTTTTAGGGACCAGGGAGAGTACGAAGGGCAGTCACTTGACTAGAGCTCTATGAGGCCCTTAGGCGGTAAGAGGAGACTGGTCCTGCACAACTGTGTGAAGTGGTCAAGCCTGACCGCCTAGTGACACTGTTCTTTCTCTGCAGCAAGTCCAGAATTAGCCTTCACCACTCATGACTTACTCCCAGAGGAACAGCCACATCAGTTTCTTGAGCCACCCCTACCTCCTGGAGCTGCAGCGTAAGAAACCCTGGCTCTTGGGAGGGGGTGCCCGAAGTTGTCATTGTGCACATTTAAGTCCTCATAGATATGCAGATGAGCACAGCATAGCAGCTCTGGTAGTGATAGCCTGCCTGTCTATCATCCTGGTGTCTGTCTCCAGGGGTTTAGAGGAGCCTGACGGAGGGAGAAGCTCCTACATCAGTATGTAATCATAGGAAGCTTTCTAAAGGACACTTGGGACCGGTAGTGATGGATTCTTGAGGGGAGAGACTATCCAATTTGAAGCCTAGGGTTTAACAAGCTTGAGCAGGTACCAGTATATATGTTGAGGCTAGACTAGGATATTGGTCTAGACTAGAGGAACAGGGAAAAACAGGCCTTTTGTTGTTGTTTTGTTTTTTGAGACAGGGTTTCTCTGTAGCCTTGGCTGTCCTAGAACTCCATCTATAGACTAGATTGGCCTCTAACTCAGATATGCCTGCCTCTGCCTTCCAGTGCAGGGATTAAAGGTGTGTGTTAGCCATGTGCAGTGGTGCACACCTGTGATCTTAGCACTCAGGCAGGGGCAGGCAGATCTCTATGAGTTGGGGCTGGACTGGTCTACATAGTGAGTCCAGGACAGCCAAGGCTACACAGAGAAACCCTGTCTTGAAAAAAAGCCATAAACAAACAAACAAACAAACAAATATAAACAAATAAGGGCTGGAGAAATGGCTCAGAAGTTAAGAGCACTGGCTGTTCTTCCAAAGGTCGTGAGTTCTATTCCTAGTCAGCCACATCGTGGCTCACAACCATCTATAATGAGATCTGGTGCCCTCTTCTGGCATGCAGGTGTACATGCAGGCAGAACACTGTATACATAATAAATCTTTTAAAATAAATAAATAAAAATAAAGGCAGGCAGGCATGTGCCACACTCCTACCCTCTACCCCCACCTGACAGTTGGATTTCTTGTTCAAACTACTTAGTTAACAACAGTCCCAGTTTCCCCAGAGCCAGCAGGACTGGTCTTCGAATAGGGGCCTCCCCAAACAGCAGCCCAGTCACCTGTCTACTCCTGTCCTCAGCTTATCTTCAGAGCCGCTGGAGCCTATGCCAGCCAAGCTTCCAATTAGGACTGGAACTGCAGGTCCTAGGCACCGTCCAGACCCCTACAAGGCCGGACTGAGCCACTATATGAAACTCTTCAGTTTTTATACTAAGATGCCTGTGGAGAAGAAGGCTCTTGAGTTGGTGGAAAAGTGGTGAGTTTATCTTGTGAGCGGCTAGAGGTGCTACTTCATAAACAGACTGTTCAGTCTGCTCTATCCCAACCTTCTTGACAGCCTAGACAAGTATTTCCAGCACCTTTACAACGACCTGGAGGCATTTGCTGCTCATGCCGGCCGTAAGACTGTGAAACCAGAGGATTTGGAGCTGCTGATGCGACGGTAAGTGGGCATTAAAGGGAGGCTGGGGATGGGAGTGCTGCTGCTAATTCTGTCCGACCCTCTTTTCCTCTGATGCAGGCAGGGACTGGTCACAGATCAGGTCTCACTACACGTGCTTGTGGAGCGTTACCTGCCCTTGGAGTACCGCAAGCTCCTCATCCCCTGTGCATTCAGTGGCAATTCCGTCTTTCCTGCCCAGTAGTGGCCAGGCCTTAACACTTGCCCTATTCTTACCTTGGACATCTTGAACCCCACAATCGTCGAGGTCTCCTTCTCCTCTCCTACTACCAATAAAGTCTCACAAATGGCTTGTTCTGCTTTTTGGTACATGTCATAGGGCTGGCTCAGATCCCCTACCCCCAGCCTGAAAAATAGTATGAATTTAGAGAAAAGAATTTTTATACTGGAAGTTCAGCAACATTCAAGCATTTAAGTTGCCAATAGGGGTTCTAGCTTGCGATCTCTGGCTCTCGAGGTCCTACACGCTTGGTGTCTGCCATCTGAAGATGTCCAAAAGCAGTCTGAAGAGGTATCGAAATTTCCTCCATTTTCTCCTCATCCTCCAGTGGCAGCTCTGCCACAGGGATCTGAAAGGCCTGGCCCAGGTAGGCACTGAGAGTCTGTTTGTCCATGCTGGGGTCGATGGCCAGCAGGGCTCCACGCATCTTCAGTAAGGTCACCTCAGTGCTGCCCCACAAGGAAAGAGAGACAGGTATACAGGTTTGAGCTCCTTTCTGTGTCATGACTCAAGTGCCTACTTTCTGTCAGATTTGAGTACTTTATAGTCCCCAGCATGGTACCTGTTGCACCGGGAGACTTAGGCACCTGAGATGCTATCTGACAGGACTTGCCGCACCTGTAAGACTTGCCAATGGCTGAGCGGGACTTTGGGGCCCAGGGTCACTCACAGATCCATGCCTAGTTCCAGCCTCAGTTCCTGTAAGTATGCTTCCTTTTCATTTTCATACTGTTCCCACAGCTTTTGCACAAATGGCTCCCTCTGGCCCTCCTCATCCTGTAGGGTGGGAGAGAAGGCAAGGGGAGGCTATTTGACTGTAGTTTAAGTAAGACTAGAGAAAGGACTGGCAAGCTATGTGTCCCAACCCACCTCAGTAAACAATAATTGGTAGTTGAACTCTTCTGTATTGGTGCTCTCTGGACCCCAGCCTGCTGCCTCCATCAGCTCCTGAATTTGCTCTTCCTTCTTTAGAGGAAAGGTACTCCTGAGGATGGTGCTATAGGAAAAGTAAGAATTCCAGCAGGGCCTGACTGAGGCTGCCAACTCACCTTCCCATCCTTCTGGGGCCATCCCCACTGGTATTTTAACAGGTTTGTTTTTTGAGAGTTTTTGAACTCATAATAATGATCCTTCTGCTTTAGTTTCCCAGACTTCTTTTTGTTTTGATTTGAGAAAGGTTTTATTTTATGTCATTCTGGTTGGAACTCACTCTGTAGATGCACAGAGGCCCTCCCAAGTGCTGGCATTGAAAGTGTGCACTACCATGCCTGCCATGTTTTGAAACAGTTTTGTTCTCAGCTGGTTCAGAATTAAATGACTGCTGCTTTTCTCTCTCAAGCGCTAGGACTGCAGGCGTGGGTTTCAACATTTTGTGAGGTGGCAGGCTTTAAGCTGTGGAGCTCCCCTTCTGCATACATGAGAACCTGACCAGCCAAAATAATGGACTAGAGTCTGGAGTAGCCTGACCAGTTTTCTTACTTGAATTGCTCCATGGATATTAACCCCTCATTCTGAGTGTCAGCATTTGCCATCTCCTTCAGCAGATGGGACTCTGTCTCCTTATAGTTGATATAGACACTCTCCATTTTCTACAATGAAGGAAGAAGTTAACTACTAATATGCTCCTTACTAGAATGGTGGGGACAGAGTCATTTTGTGCTGGGGACAAAAGCCTTTATGTTTCGCTGAGGGTAACAGGTAGGACCTAGGCCAAAGCTCACCTTTCCCATCAAGACTGCATAGAACTGACTCATGATCTCATTGGAGCGAAAGAGCTTAATATATTCAAAAATGGTATAAGCCCAGGCCATGGCATCATTGATTCCAAAGCGACGCTCCAGAAAATTCAAGAAGAAATCTGGGAATGGCTCCTTCTGTAGGGAAATGAGAATATTTGGTCAGGATGTGCTAGGGCCCCACCCTGCTCCCTACCATCCTAAGGGGTCTCCTTAAAGGACTGTGGATCTGAAGGCTTTGCCGAGGCAAGGTGTCAGAGCCAGCGAGAACTGACCTGCTCCTCTGCAAGTCGCTCCTTCCAGGCATCCCCAAGGAGATTCACCACCTCCTTCTTGGTTGGCTTCTTGTTCTCCACAGTGGCATCACAGTGAAGGAAAGAAGGGACAGATTCCCCATAGCCCTGAAAGGCAGGTGCAATTCTTCATTGAACCCTTCTGTTGCCCTTTTTCTAAATGGTTCCCCTAGAATTTTAAATAGCCTCTGGCTTAGGGACTCCCTTACCAGACCAGGGAAGAAGTCTCTCTCTCGAAGCAAACCGATGCCAATCTCCTCCAGGAGCACCTCTACCAGCTGGTCACTGTTCTTTCCTTCAGCCAGCATTAACCAGCGTTCTGGGCCCCCAGCTATGATATCTGCAGGTGGGGAGAGGAAGCTGGAACCCAGTCCCTGTCCTCGAGCGGGCCCTGGGAGCCCCACAACCATCATTACTTTCGCACTTGTTCCAGTCAGGTCGAGGTGTGGAGATGCGCTGGATGTCCTGCAGCTCAGAGTAGTACTGGTCCCGTTCCTTCAGTGTGCTCATGTGCAACTGCAGCAGCATCTCGTGCTCCTTCCGGACCTCTTCATAGTCGGCTCTCAGGCATTCCAGCTGTAGGCAAGGTGATTGGTCCTAGCTACCCACCTGCCTGACTTCCCCCTACCACATCAAAGTCTACCTGCCCACCAGCACCTTGTCTTGAAGTTCCATGTTGGTCTTCTCCTGCTTTTCGAAGTCTCTCCTGGGTACCACGTCTCCAAAGTTGGCCTTCATTGTGTTGAGTTCCATCTGAATGCGGGTCAGGTCTTGTCGAGTCATCTTCAGTGCCAGTGTTAGCTTCACAGGGTCCTCTCCCCAAACACCTGCCAGAAGCCCATCAGTCTATCACCTTGCCTCTGGGGCTTGTACCCAGGGTTGGGCTGAATATTGCTTGGGGAGTGCCTTCTTTTTGAATAGAGTGGACCCCAGAGGCTCATAGGTTTGAATAGTTGTTTGCCAGTTGGTGGAATTGTTTGAGAAGGATGAAAAGATACAAATTTAACCAGGCATGGTAGCTTATATCTTTAATCCCAGCACTCAGGGAAGCAGAGACAGGTAGATTGCTGTGAGTTTGAGGCCAGCCTGGTCTACAAAGCAAGTCCAGGACAGCCAAGGCAACATAGAAAAACCCTGTCTTGAAAAACCATAAAGAAAAAAAAAAAAAAAAAAGAGGTATGGACGACACTGGGGACATCATTG